CCCGTAGAGCGCGTTTAAACCGAAAGTCACAATAGCTCTGCATAGTTAAGAGTTAGATCATTGTGGACTATGCCAAGAGAAAAGCATATATATATACTTACCCGGTTGCGTTGAAGAAACGGTTAACTTCGTCCCAACGGTTCATATACAAACATCCTTTAGAGAAGCCGAACAATCCGGCATCGGTCTTGTTGAATTGAGTACAAGGAGTCTTCAAGTCTCCTACGTCGTAGATCACTTGATCTTGCAATGAACCACCTATTCTTATTCTCAACGTCCTAAAAGCTAACAAACAATCAAATATGTCACCATGAAGGTTCTTTGTTAGAATCGAATATCGGTTTGTGATAGAGATCACAAACCTTGAATAGCTTTTGCAAGAAGTGGAGAATTCAAGTTCTGAAATCATTCAAAAGACTTTTCAGCCAAAAAAAGATGAAGTAATAAAGGGTCAAAGCTCAGAGTTGTTTATTTATATACCAAATTGATTAGAGAAGCGTAACCCCAAGGACACTGATCATAGTTGCATTTTTCAGGTGGCCACCAATCGAGCGTCGCGCAGACAAAGTTCTCATCGATCTCAGCGATTCGATGTTTACCGTCTATAACAATGGTGGTTTGTACCATGTTGCTACCAAAAGTAACCGGAAGTAGAAGCAGACAACTCAAGAACACAAGGAAACACACGTTGAAGCCCATTTTGGTTTGTGTGAGCCTCACGTTTCGATTGGTTGATCTGTTAGAGAACAAGAAAACAAATAAATAGTAAGTTTTCAGAGAAACGAAGATTAATAATCAGTTGGAGAAATGGCAAAGAACCTGCTTATCAGAACAAGAAAAATTCAATATGTGGAGGCTTGTTCAATGATATGATAAAGCAGAGTTTTTCAAAGCAACAATCCAAAATTTTGAAGTTGAAAAGTAGTTTTTGAATTTTGTATATATGTGTGGATATTTTGGTGAATTTCCAATATACAAGGAAATATAATTGTTTTGGTATGTGCCACACAATAATGATCCGGTACTTACAATTAGATTTAGCTATGCTTTTAACTAATTAGATAGATTAGTCAAAGTGTTGTTTTCAGAGAGCATGTCCAAGCTCATTAGTTGACTTTTGGGTGATTTAATAAAATTTAATGACAAACAAAAAAAAAACAAGAATTTCTTTTTGGGTTGAGATAAAAAGGCAAAACTCAGAACAAAAACTGACCTCAGAATTTAGAAGCATCCATGGAGGAAAAATCATGACTTTGATTAGTTTAGTTTGTGTTAAGAGATCTCAATAGGTTATTGTTCTTGGAGTCGACAACACTTCATTAAAGTCTCTTTGGGAGATTCTTCGAATCCATTTTTTCCAGTTAAACCGCTTTTTACAGAACCGAAATTACACCCAAAAATTTAATTTTATAACAGAACCGCTATATTTTGAGCGTTTAAATGAAACATTTGTTT